CCAGCCCGCTCAGAGATGTGTATAAGGAATGTTAGAACTGATAAGCATTGCTATAAAACGTTTTGCTTTTACACAAAATTATTTTGATTATTGAACAAAAATTATTTTCAGATCTGGATTCAGCAAAATTGTTCTTTCCGTGTAGGACTTGTGTTTTGGTGTATAGCCGACTCTTGCTATATAAAAGTCGTTCAATTCCATGCTAAATATCATCTTCTCATAAATGTTAAATGTTAAAAAGATTTCATCTAATGACAAAAGCATTGGAATTTACTGTTCCTACGATTTCTCATAGGTTTGGTTTTTCGATCAGCGAACGCTAGACGAGGGAAAAATGAGGCATGATCTCTCGTCGCTCATCAACGGCGCATTTCTTGTTGAAAGCACAAAGACGAAGCGTCATTGTGCTTTCGTAACCTTGCTGAATTGCCGAAAAACAGTTAGCCACGCAATGGAACTATACAAGTAACTTTCCATTACATATCTTTCGAAACGCCACATTTTATTTTTTATTTGATTTTACGGTCCGTCGGTTTCAGGAAGAACCAAGCTTCGCGTCGCGTCAGCATCGACGTCGACGGTGACTGTCGTGGAAAAATAACAGTCTCGTCCGAGTTTCACTTAAAGTTGTCGTCCCGCTTGAAATTGCTGGGACAGGCCCTTGGTCATCGTCGGGAAGTATCGACATTTGGTATCTTAAGATAAAACAGTTGATTGGAAAAGTTCTTTAAAGAACAGTAAGAGGGAATGTAAGAACACTGTGTAGAATCTATCGGATAACTTTTTAACTACAAATTGTATTACAACGCAAATTACCTATAATATTATTCTTAGCGAACATTAATTTGAATAATATCGCTTTCAAAGTTTATCATTTTCAATATTACCACCGGATTAATTTTTTAAAATATGTGTAAATGTATTTTTACATTCGCTATTATCTACTTATTCAGTTTAAAACCATAGTTAAACAGAAAGTGTACACGTGTGCGCGCGCGCGATACGCTTTTAGAAATTATCTCAAGTTTAATTTTACCTTGAAAAATATTATATGTTGTAAACGTTAAATTACGTTTCGTGAAATAAAATAAATAAGTGCAAACACTGACTTCGTCTCTCGCGTTTGTCCTATTGTCCGTGAGTTAATTAAACAACGCGTTAAAATTGAGCCTTGTAATTCTTCAAATTAAAAGGTGAAAAAAAGGACAATTCTTGCATTTTGGGCCTTAAGATCTTTAATCATTTATAATTAACTTAGACATTTAATTTGCCAACGCAAAGACCGGCGTTTATGTTTAAGTATGCGGTTCGCGCGGACCGTGCAAATACAGAGCGCATGAATTCATTAAAGTGTTATTTTCAACAAGTGTACAATACGAGCGAAATTCTCGTGCAGCGCGGACGGTGCACCTCTTGTGAAAGGTAAAGTTTTATTATTTGTCCATCTCTTTGAGCTTAATTAATCAAAGATGCAGGTTTTGTTTGTTGATCCTGAGTAATTATTCGTGCCGCAAGGTAACCCTCTAAGCGAAACAACAAGTCATTATGGCACCGAAATAGCGTCAAAATGGCTCCAAAATGATTAAAGAAGTCACTTTTCATTCAGTCGCAATTTATTTTAACATCGTTTCGACGTTATCGTGACCTGCTGTTCTGCTTGGGAAATCATCAGCTGTGTGTGTAATTGTGTATGACATAAAGATTATTTTATATCAATCCACCTCCAGAATGTCTTGTTACGGTTTTTTTTTTTTCAATGACAATGATCGTTTTGATTTCACCGCTATCCGCAATAGCGTTGACACAGTTGCATCGAATGCACTTTGACAAAATCTGTTGATTTAACGTTACCCACCTGTCGAACGCACTGCATCACGTATCGCAAACATCGCCGCGTACAAACAAACAGTTGAATTAATTACATTGTTACCTAATTGATGATGTTTGTTAATTTTAGTTTTTGTTACGCGTCTCGCTTGCGTATTGATTTTCAGCCAAGTTTACTCTGCGACGGATCGCTGTTGGCACATATGACGCAGATCTGAATAGAATTTTTAATGACAACAAAACCTTCGTGGACCTTTACCAGCTGCGTACGATGTAACCATCGAAAAGTAAGTTAATATTTGTTGTACAGAGATGAATAAATCGAGACGAATAACAAATTTCTCTTTATTCTCTCTCTCTCTCTCTCTCTCTCTCTCTCTCTCTCTCAAGGAACAAGATAAGAGATGATTATTTCTACTTTTCTGTGTCATCTTTCTCAATGGTATTTAGAATATTTTCTTTGCGAATTTTATATGACTGTACAAAAGTTTTCGTCTTTTTCTTAAGCTTTTGAAATATTACGCATTATTTGAAGTTACTTAAAGCAAGTTGAAGTGACAAAAATAAGATAAGTAATCTCTTGATGTGCCAATTATCTGTATGCACAAATAGAATATGTATATATATGTATATATATTTTATAAAATTTGCACAGGTATAACCATAAATTGTTTAAAAAATTAAGAAAACGTATAAATAAGCAATTCTTTACAAGTTAACAAGTGAAATAAATCCAAAAATAATTTTACGAGGAAAAAGTTTAATAATTGGTTTTCTCATGTTCTGTTATTATAAATCAATATAATTTAGAGTACATGAAATTTTCTGACGCATTTCTCTCTCAAATATGAATTTTATTTCCTTTTGATATGACAAATTTCAACAAATACGCGTTTCTCTATATTCATTATGGAAATTAAGGTTCTAAAAAAAAAAATGAAAATAATTAACGTAATGAAAATAATTAAAATAAATAAATAAACGTAAATAAAATATTACGAATAAAATGCCTATGTGAGCCGCCGCCCCCGCCGCAGTTGTAGATGCGTGAATCAATGAAACATTTTGTAGTGAGCAAAGTAGTGTACCTGCTTAACAATTTATACAGAAAGTATGATTCTTGAAGCCTTTGTAATTATTTTGTAATTTATTAATTTTAAACGTAAATAAATTATATGTTTAAGAGATATAAAATAGTTAATATTTCTTAAATGTATACATTTATACATACCATTTTGCTAATTTTATTATCTTTTTGGAATTGATCTGTTTGCAAAATAGGCAGTAATAAATTTTAATATATGTTTCGGAAAAATGTACATATAATAATCTTTTATGTGTATATATACATGTATGTACATATATATATATATATATATATATAGGTATATATAATTATATATTATAAACAATATGAATTTCTGCGTGACCTTACAAAAGCTCTAGGTATACATGAAGCATTTTGCCTCACGATTCTCTTACTGTTTAAACGACGCTATTACTTCTAACAAAGCAGAAAAGCAAACCTCGTGACTACAGAGCATTACATTTTAATATGTTGTCTCGACAAAGAGAGAAGTGTAAATTCCACGGTATATAAATGAATTTTAAAATCGGTTCTCTTTCTCTCTTCCTCCCTTTAATTTATTCCTAAAATGTTGAAAATAGTTGGAATAACATCGAGAGAGTAATACATTTTATAATTTTAAAATGATATTAAAATAGTTCAAAAAAACGAATAATGAAATAAAGGCAATCTGGATAATTGATAAAGTTTAATACATAATAAGAGAAAAAATAACGAGAATATATAAAAAATCTTAATGTAAAATATTACAAATAATAATAATCAATATAATCAATTTTAATAAATGTGATAGCTATTTCTCTCTCTCTCTCTCTCTCTCTCTCTCTTTGTCTTCTTTTTCTCCCTTTCTTCCTTTCCCTCTTTCTCTCTCTCTCTTCTAATTGAAATACAAGATTTTCTCCTGTTAGGACTACGAAATAATCCGTTATTGCAGCGGAATAGTAGAATCCCATTCGGAGATGCTGAAACGTACCTACATAGTTTCAACGTGTTTCCGATCTATAATTTCGCGCGCACTTGACGTTCGATCTTCATAAACATGTCATTTGGATTGGAAGAGCACGAGGGTGTCGCTTTAGGTCCGCCTCGCCCAGGGCATAATCAAATTTCGCGGTCGCCCGTATGAAGGGGATCTTAATTGCGTCAGCGGCAGCTGAGAGCAAATACTGCGTAGCTTTACTTCCCAAATGCAAACTCGTATGCGCGACGGGTGATGCGTATTATCAGCGAAACTTTCGGAAATTTAAATCGATGCTCAAATCGACGATCACATATATATGAGATACAGTCACTGACTGCGCTGCAACTGAGATTATTTTTTTCTGTAAACTTTATAATCGATTAAGGATAACTTCGGGCAAACTCTGATTAAGTTAATATCAGCTATTAACTGAAGTAATACCGGCAATATTATATTAGCGCAGATTGAATTATTAATCTTTCGCTGTTTGCGGATTAAGGCCAACGAATTACACCGCTCGAATTTCTTCCATAAGCGCAATTCTGCCGGTTGAATTAATTACCAATTAAATTTAACTCGCGGCATTTATACACTCGCGAAATTTCGACGAAAATTGACGAATTTCTGGATCTACGCAAAATTCGCTGTTTACCTTGTCATGACATTTTTCCTGTCAACGATTTTTTTTATAAAGCACGAACGCTACAGGTACAAACTTCACACGTGTACTTCGAGCTCGGCGATCAGATTTCTTTAATGGACTCTTGTCGCAAATAAATCCGTCGACCACTGCCCTTCCTTGCACAAGAATTGCTCCACGTGTCCGCGTTAAATCGCTTCTTGTGGAAGGAAATATTTATGGTCTCCTTTTTACGGCACTATCCGTTTTCGTTCGATCTCGACGGCGGAAATTCTTCGAAATCTTTTCCGCCGCGCAGGATTACGCTAGCATATAGATACTTTATCCTAATTGCGATAACGAAGACAATGTGGACAACGAGTTGAGTACTAGGATTACGTCGGGTGTCCTGTTTGGGATTACCGGATTCGCGTCTGCCTCTGCAGACGTGTTACGTAATCCTGTAATTTTATAATATTCCGCCCATTATGTGCACTCGCTTTATGTCGCGACGAAGAAAAGCTAAGACGATGTAATATAATTTTCATGGCCTGAAAGCTGTGTAAATATTCATTAATGCAAGAGGAAGGAAAGCATCTATTTAAAGCCACATACTTTACTGGTAATTTAAGAACAATTAAAGGTAATGAAATTATGGCATTAAATTGACAAAAATATATCTGCTATTGTAAATTGTTGTCAATAAACTGTTCATCGCGAGATAACGCGCGTTAAAGAAACAATGATAAATAATGATACAAAAATTTCCGCAAAATGCGCAAAAGAGTTTAGAAATAAATTTAACAAGCATTTTATATGCATGCGGAATAATAAGCTTCGAACGTCTCATTTATTTTTACATTTAATAACATTAAATTACAATAAAAGTGTTTGCCGTAACTCGTAACTTCTATCACAATTCAAAATAGAATTCTACTTTTATAATTTTAAATGCTATGATAATACAAAAAAGTTTGAAGTGAAAACCAGAGAACGTGATATACATATATTGTAATATAATATTATATAATAATGTAACACAAAATACACGGCATATAAAGTTATAAATAGAATAGTCATACTGAGATCTAACATGACTTTATAAGTCGTCTATTAAAGTTAGTTTCATAAAAAGGGATTTTATTTAATTTACATACAACTTTTAAAACCACCCGTGAATTGAGAGGAAAAGAGGAGTATACTAGATGCACTCTAAAAGTGCATCCGAGCTAATTTAATTCGGTTCCCGTTAGCTACAATGCTTTGATGAAAGCTATACCAACAACTTCGCTAATCGCACCGAGGTAGCTTATACGTTCGTCGCGCGTGTCATGGAAAACTTTACTATGGAAGATGAACTGAATAATTCGCCGTTGCCAGACTGGAAGAAAAGTCCTGTCATTCTAAAATCCATTCGAGATTACCAATATCGCGAATGAGCGAAACATTTGAATTACATTTAAAAGACGCCGGCAAAAAAAAATGGCAACTTTTAATGATTCAATTT